AATTTGTACTGTGCTTTGCGTGGCAAATGAAATTTTACACGCATTGCAAGCCATGTGTGTAGCAATGGCATCCATTTTTATTCTTTTTCTCTTTTTTTGCACTCATTACTTAATCCCAAAAATATTTGTTCTCTTTTGAATAATGTGATATTATCTTTTAAAATAAATTTTATATATACAAATTAGTAAGAAAATAAAAATTATAAATTACACCGTATTTAAAAATTATATAAAAAATTTTACAAAATTAGCAGCGATAAGAATAATTTATTTTATTAAATACTCCGTATATCATGAAAAAGGGAAGCACAAAAAATGTTATCAAAAATCTAAAATAGTAGATACGACATTTTTGGGAATGGAGAGAGTGTAAAATAGTAGAATTATTTTTATGAAAAAATTAAATAAAATAAATTTTAATAATTAAATACATAAAAATGTAAAAAAGTGACAAAGATAATGACTTGTCACTGCAATGCATGTCACTCCACGTTCTTGCCACACGATGACTGGACTGTCTTTTATTGGTTAAAATGTTCCACGTCAACGTGTTACGTTCCATTTTTTGCCTTGTCATTGCTCGTGCTCTAAGATAATGACAACACATGAAAGTAATACTAAAATTATACATGCATTAAGTCTCACTTTTTCTCAAAGTGATTTTTTCAGAGGTAATAAAATAAAATTCCTAGTGCTCATCATGTATCATTCATTTTTCCCTTTGACATTAGCTTTAGCGTTTAACCTTTGTCTTTTAAAAAAAAATATCTAACGGTAACTTTTGACATGAGCCTTTTTAAAGTTAATTTTCACTATTTAAAAAATGGTTAGCTAACAATATAAGATAGTATTGTACTCCATATAATAATAACTATATCAATATAAGGTATATATACCGTAATTATAAGACATAATATTAAGTATATTAAATAATTAATTTATTTACGAGCATGATTGTAATTTATGGATAGGAGAGGATTTTTCAAAACCTACTATGTGTTTAACTCTTTAAAAAGGAATGTAGCTTTTTTTAATATAGAAAGACAAATAAAGAAAGTGAGAAATTTATTACGAAATGAAAGAAGTATTAAAGGAAACAACTAATATTAGAAGGAAAATATATCTGAAACTTGCTCATCATCAATTGATAGTAGTCCCTCCCAAAACAATCGATAGATACAGTGAGTATGGAGTATCCGATCCATTGAAGAGGACATAGGCCCAAAGAGTGGATCTCTATCAATAGAACAAGCTCAGACTTACGAAACCATCTTTGGCTGACTTTATTTTCAATTCAATTTATTTGATTATAGGTATAAAATTAAAAAATAAAATTTATACATCTAAAAACTATATAAAAAATTCTACAAAACAAGAGGTGACAAGACTATATTATTTTAACAAATAACTAACGAAAATAGGTAAAGAAAGTAATTTAAGTTTGATCGTGTAAATAGTAACTGGAAAGATAGTATTGGGACGGAGGGAGTATTTGTTTGATTTCTAGCTTTTAATTTCTAACATTCTCCAAATTTTTCTAGTTTTTTTGGACACTTTCCCGTTTCTTTCAATTTTTAACTTTCTTCTAACTTTTTCCAATTTCTTTTAATAATGACATAAAAAAATATTTAAGTATATTTTCCTATATTATTATATTATTATTTTAATAAAATAAAAAAATGATTTAATGTTACAATTTATTAAAAACAATTACTGTTCTAGAGATAAATTTTAATTATCATTATAGAGTCAACGTAAATTATTAAAATAAAAAATAATAATTTATAATTCCATTTTTGAATTTTGAAATTTTTCGTTAATTGTGTTTTTTTGAAATGTGTTATCGTCAACATTAGAAAATTTTGAAAATAAAGTATGTTTTAAAATATTGACCAAAAAACTATGCGCTCTATTTTCTTTTGCTAAGCATTGCATATTTTAGAACTGCATACTCTGGAGTATTTTTATACCCCTTGGTTCCCATAAAATTGGAAACCAATGTCATGGGATGACCCGAGAGCACTCCAACCCCCTAACCTCCCCGGTAAACCCCTCTACTCCGCCCTGACCCAAACACCCCCCTCACCCTCTTCAGTTGCACTTCAATGTCATGGGAACCTTGCCCATTTTATAGTGTACACGTTCTATACATATACTCCCTCCGTCTTATAATGATCTTCCCGGTTCGCAAAACGAAGAAAAATCCCAAGTTCTTTCAATCGATTTTATTTAAATATTGGTATAGAAATAAAAAATAAAACATACATATTTAAAAACTACACCAAAAGTTCAACAAAACAAGTGGTGACAAGAATATTTTATTTTATCATATAGGCAATGAAAAAACACAAATAAATATAAATTCCCGTGAAGTTGGAATAGTGCTTTGGGAAGATCATTATAGGACGGAGGGAGTACTATATAGAGTATATGCAAAGAAATTATTATGTGAAATTAAATTTTTTTAAATTTTCAAATGTGCATAGGAAGGATATATATTAAGTACAACCTTTGTTGCATAAAAATTACCTATTTGACTTTTAAAAAACAAATAACGAATTTCAAATTTTAAAAATATGGTTTAAATATTCTCGAGGCATACGAAAAAACAAATTTAATTTTAAAAAGTAAAGAAAAAAGACGCGCGAGTCACACAAAATTTACTAATATGATTTGAAATAAAATATAATGGTATAGAAAAGATTGATGTGTTCGGAGCATGCTTGATGTGTTCGAAACTCTCAATGAGAGCACCAATGATGAGTTTTAGAACACGGACCTAAGAGATTAGGTAGAAGAGTATCGAATAAGGGCCGAGTGCCTTTGGTTGCAAGAGTAGAATAAGTATATTAGCTTGATAGTAAAAGTGAATGTGTCTTTCCTCCTTTAGGTGAGGAGTACTTATACAATGCTTTCTTCGTGCTTGGGCATCTTAGCCGTTAGTCAACTACCTATTGGGCCAAGCCCACCGAGGTCAAGCCTTTTGATTGACAGCGTAAAGAGTATGATTACAAACTAGGGTGACTACAACTAACGTTCAGACAATAGAATGGCTACAACCAATCATATAGGCAAGCGTATCACCGTGTTCCATCGTGGGCCCGTTGATTAGACAAGGCATACAGGCTCCCACACCCGTAGTGGGCCCACCGTGCTTAGCTGGCGGTAGAGGCCGAGTGCACATGGTCTGTTGTTGGAGGACAACCATGGAGGATGCGATAGGGCCTGTACCGGGTCCGAGTGCATGTATCCGAGCTTAGTAGGGATAGACGTTCGAGTGCGGTTGTCACCTTGAGGTCTTGGTTTCCTTTGAAGTCTGGCTTAGCCAAGCGGGGGCTCCCTTTGCCGAGCGCGTCCGAATCGTTTGATTAGATAGACCATGTTGGACCGCTTATTCTGTTGAGTCGGATACCCCCAGTCCCGGGTATTTGTCACCCGTGGCGCACTGAAAGGCCTTACGAGAAATAAGTCAATAACCTACTCTGGGGTGGTGGATAATACTTTTAGAAAAGGTGCATAAATTTCTCTATGGTGGAGCCGTGGAGGTTGTCTTCAAATTTCTCAAAATAATTAAACATTTCATTAAAATTTAAATAAGAAATACAGTAATGGTACGTTTAAGAACACAAAAATATGAAAACTGTTCAACAAAAATAATACTAAAACTCAAAGAAATGAATGAGAAGTGTGTGAAAAAATGAGTGAAGTGTTGTATTTTAAATATTGAAATTTTTTGATTTTTTAAAATTGCAAACGGTAGTTTACGTAAATGAGACTTAAACATATCACTTTTCTATAAATAGGAGAAATCCTATCTACTCTAACATTTTTGAATGGAAATTTCTAAAATGCACCGCCTTTGAAAAAATGACCTATTACACAATTCAAGTAGAATAAGACATTATTAAAAACAATTTGAATAGTCATTGAAATAAGCAGTCATTACTTAACACTTGTGGCTAATGACCACATTCGTAGAGTAATTCGTATAATCAGTCATTATCCAACACTTGTTGCTAATGAGGGCATATATGACAGATCATATAGAATTATGTGACACAAAGGGAATAAAACATACTTGTTCATATTCAAGGAAATGCTTTACCTTTTAGTCTTATATAGAGCAAATTTTTCAATGTCAAATGTCTATTTAAAAAACAAAAGAAGAAGAAGAGAATCTAAATGTTGAAGGGCAACGAGAAAAACAGGGAAAGGATCCCGCTCTTCCCGTTCCCGCATGGGAGGGGGTGTAGTGTTCCCCTTCCCATTCCGCTGCCCCATCGGCTTCCCGTTCTCCTTTCCCATGGCACACCAAAGAATGCTTTTTTGGTGCATTCCATTTTTGTGGACCTTTTCACATAAAAAAATATTTTTTTATTTTTTTAGTTAAAAAAATAAATGCTTATTTAAGTAATAAGGAAATACTTATTTTGATTATATGTAGGTCCATGGTGGACTTTAGGTCCACCATAGAAGTTGCCCGCTCCGAAAGGCCTTACGATGAATAAGTCATTGATACTGTTTGAGAATAGTATTAGAGATTAGCGTTTGAAAAAGCTATCTACGAACAATGTTTAGCGTTAGCATTTTCAAAGTAATCTGCACCGTTCAAATTTTTATTCAAAATACCAACGCTAATCTTTAACGCTATTTCCAAACAGGCTCAATAACCTATTATGGAATGATGGATAATATAATACTTTTAGAAAAGGCGTATAAATTTCTCTATGGTGGAGCCGGGGAGGTTGTCTTCTGTCTTTAAATTTCTGGAAACTCCTATTCCCTTTATTTATATCTCTTTCCGCCAAATTTAGAAGCGCACGCAGGCCGACTGGCGAGGAGGAGAAAACAACAGTGCTGCTGCTGCTGCTGCAGCAGTGTAACTTCTCGTGATCCTCAACGCCTCCGTCTTTTCTTTCTTCTTCTTCTTCTTCTTCTCTTTCTTCATTTATTTTCACTCCCAATTAAATCCACAGTAAACTCAAATCACACTTTCTCCCGTGCTCTCTCTGTGCTTAAATGAAACCACCACCCCCCCTTTTCTCCTCTTTCCCAGATAGAATTTCCCACTCAGGAACCCTAATTTTCCTTGTTTTCCTGCACTCTTTCTTCTCCTGGTAATCCCTCTCGCCTTTCCCCTGCTCTTTACATGCGTGTCGTTTTGAAATTAAAGGATTTAATTCAATCGGGGTTTACCGTGGCTATTTACCTTGCCAGAATTTTGGATGATTTATGGGTGATTTGGTTATGTTAAGGCATTTGGCTGAAATTGAATTCAATTTTTTGTTTGGTTATTCATTTTTCTATAACTTTCTTTCTGGGTTCTGATTTCTTGATTGATTACATAATACCTCATCCATGTATCTGTTCTTCTCGAAGGACAACTTACTAAATGAACTGAAAATTGTTAGGTTTAGCTGCCAACTGATAATTGCTGGACTTGAAAATAAGTTCAAAAGAACAAACCCATAATAATCTAAGTTGTGCCTTGAATTTCTTGCAGAATTATGTGTTGCAAAATAATCTGAATCAAAGCTCAAAGGCTCCTGAATATTGTGATTTAGTATGATGGTTTTGTGGGCTCTCTCTTGACTTCGTCCGAGATTCTCCTTTCCCACAATAAATTGGCTCAGATGGGGTGAAGAACTGGTTAAGGGCGACATCTAATTCCACTTAAGTGCATCTAAGAGCAATGGCCACCTTCTCTGGTACTAGTGAAATTACAGAGGCAGTGGAAGACTCAGATTCTGTATCTGAAATTGGCGAAAATGTGCGAAAATGGAACGCGATGAAGATAGCACAGAGGTATTTTATCAAGCAAGACATTGATAAGCTTTTTGAGGCAATAGAAATAAAGAGTTCCCGAAAGGATGGATTTCAAAGGAGTGCAATGAAAAGACCAATGGGACCTTGTGGTTCTCCTCAACCATCAGGAATCGGAATTTCCGAACCCGTGAGTTTGAAGCAAGCTTTTAGAGGATTATGCATTTCTCATGCATCAGAGATAGCTTCTATGAAGAAACAGTTGTCAAGAGTTGGCATTGTTCCTCTTTCGCCCCCGGAAGACTGTGAACCCCCAAAATTGGTGTCTCAACAGTGTGAGACATCTAAACTTCCAGACACTTCGATTTCTAAGGCAGGCCCCTGGTTGAGCTGTAGTATTGCTAAAACAAGAAATGCCATTACCATACCTGATAAAGGGTCAAACTCAAAGAGTAGTATTGGGGATTATAGCAGAACTGCTAGCTGTAGTGAGGAAAGCTCTTATCTCAGTGGATATAATCGGAGTGGATATAGGCCTCACATGTCAAAAGATTTAAGATGGGAAGCCATTCGTTGTGTTGAGAAGAGGCATGGAAGTTTGGAGTTGAGGCATTTTAAATTCCTCAGAAAGATTGGTGGTGGTGATATTGGAAGTGTTTACCTGTCTGAACTAATCGATACGAGCTTCTTGTTTGTCATGAAGATTATGGATAATGAGTTTTTGGTGAGCAAGAGGAAGACATCAAGAGCTCAAACGGAAAGGGAAATATTGGAAATGCTATATCATCCCCTTCTCCCCACACTATATGCCCATTTCACCACGGATAAATTCTCCTGTCTTGTGATGGAATACTGTCCAGGCGGTGATCTGCATGTTCTCCGTCAAAAACAACCAAACAATACTTTCTCCGAGCCAGCAGTTAGGTAAACATATTCACTGTTTTTGTTTTTGACTTCCAAGTTTCAAATCCTTTTTTTGAGTAAATCCCATAACAATTCTGAATTTATAGTAAGACTTGTAGTATGCTGAAGAGAGTCTCACATAAAGAAAATTGAGGACATATGATTGTGATCTCGCGGGTTCAAGTACATAACTAGTTGGATTTTATGGGGTAGCTTTTAGTTCCGGTTTGACTCATGTCATTATGACCCAAATTCTTAGATACGACTTCAAGAGATGAAGTTTTGAACGATCACTTGATGATGTTTATATGATGCTCTACTAGCAAGCATATTACTCTCTAAGTGTTTCATTGTTCAATTTTCAGATTCTATGCTGCTGAAGTTCTTCTCGCCCTGGAGTACCTTCACATGCTTGGGGTTGTGTATCGCGATCTGAAACCAGAAAATACATTGGTTCGAGAAGATGGCCATATAATGCTTATAGATTTTGATTTGTCCCTTAGATGTGGGGTGAATGACCCCAAACTGCTCAAATCATCATCTCGTGTTCTCGGGTCCCCAAAAAAGACGTCCAGCCCATGTTCAGAATCAAGCTGCATACAGCAACCTTTCTGCCTCAATCCACCCTGGCAAGTATCTTGCTTCACCCCCAAGTCAAAAGCCACCACTGGCTCAGAAGCCGGGCAAGTGTCCCTACTGCCACAGCTTGTGGTGGAGCCCACTGCTGTCCGTTCAAACTCCTTTGTTGGAACACACGAGTATCTGGCTCCCGAGATCATCAAAGGAGGACATGGAAGTGCTGTGGATTGGTGGGCTTTTGGAGTGTTCATGCACGAGCTTCTCTACGGGAGGACTCCTTTCAAGGGTAGCACAAACCAGGACACTTTGGACAATGTGGTGTCACAAGGACTCAAATTCCCTGAGAATCCAATGGTAAGCTCTAATGCGAGAGATTTGATGGGACGGTTGTTAGAGAAAGAGCCCCAGAAGAGGCTGGGATGTTCTAAAGGCGCAACTGAGATCAAGGGTCACTCGTTCTTCGAGGGCCTGAACTGGGCTTTGATTCGGTGTCAAACCCCACCTGAAATACCGGACCCAACCAACTCCCAGAAGAAGCAGGGTGAGAAAGAAGGCACAAGTGGTGAAGAGGGTATTGTGTTTGACATGTTTTAGCAAATAGTATGTTGTGATGTTGTATAGCAAAAAAAAGGTGTACATAAGTACATTGAAGTGATGTTTTTTTTAATGAAAGATATGTTCACTTTTCCTATACAAAAGGGGTATTGGTGAGTTACCTTTCAATATATTCCAAGAAATTTTATCATTAATAATGTATTCCATCACTAACATGATAAAGTGAAGGAACCAAACACAAGGGGGAAAAAAACCATGTGGCTTGCTTGCTTGAACTCATGCTATGACCGTTTATTCATACTATGTAACTCTGTTTCTGGGCTGCTTTCCGGGACCTTTTTCTCCTCGGATTAGAACTGAGAATGCTTGAAAAAGCACTAAGAAGCTCGGTATCCTCTATGGTAATCAACATCTTTGCAGCGTTTGGATTGGCAATGAGGAGCTTTGCCACCAGATATCCGGCAATAGACCATGTTTGGAAGAGACGTGCTTGTTTCCCGATGAACGAACCTCGTTTGGTGTCATAATATTCAGGCCACTTGTCTCTGCAAATGCGCTTCTCCGCGATCTTCATCGCGTTCTCCGCGATCTCTGGCCTCTTCATTTTAATGCATGCCACAGTCAGCTGGAAGAAAAAGAGGATGCACCAAAAACCGGAAGTTCAGAAATGCAATGCCAAAACTTGGTTGCTGAAACTTGTGATACATCAAAAGTCAAATGAATGTAGACATGATGCATGTCTACATTCATTTTAACTTTTGATGTATTAAAAAAGTCATAATGGCAAGGCACCAAACATAGCATTAGTGCATGTAAAATTCCCAGTCACTTTTGGTTATTCTGACCACTTATCCAGCCAATTTTTGTACAATTCATGGTTTTTTTTATGGACAAGTGACAAGGGAAAAAATGGCAAGGAATTCATAGGCGTGATTCGAAAATGGAAGCCGGGTACCAAAACTGGGAATAACCTAATAGTCGCGAGACCAAAAGTGGAAAGTTTCTTGGTTCCCAAATCTTAGAGAAGATATTCTAACCTGCCAAAGTAAAGTTGGCCAAGAGCCGGCATTGTGGTATGACCATGGCCTGCACGAAGAGCCAAAAGTAAACATTAACAAACACATAATTACAAACTAAATAGTCCAACATAGACCCATTTAGAATAAGAATGACGTAGGGAGAGACATTACGTGTTCTTTGGATCGCCGCCAGTTATAATACGCCACTCTTGACCTTCAAGAGCAGGATAGCATATCTTGAGGGGCATATTAGCCACTAAATCATCCCATTTGGCTTCAATAAGATCCAATATAGCATGAGACTGATCTGTTGTAGCAAGGCTGCTCACAATGGACCATAGATTCCCAAGAGAGAAAAAACGGAAGTCCATATGAGCTGGCTGCAAGTTCCCAATCAAATACCCACCTTTACTCGGCATCCATTCAACCAGCCAGTGAGGAATCTGGTCTGGGTATATGTTGAACTTGTTGATTGCTTCGTAAGAGTACTCCTCTGTTTTGTAACGGTAGATTTCATTAAGTTTTTTCACATCAATCCAGTAATATTCGCGGATGTGAAATGACAATGCTAAGAGACGGTTGTTAAGAGCTGTTAGAAGGTCAACCGAAGCTTCTTCAGGAGCCAGCATCTCCCTTGCACAAAGTAGGGCAGAATAGAACAATGCCTGCCAATGAATTTCTATTGGTTTAAGTATAAAAATGTGACGTAAAAATCACATCTTGACTCTTAACAAGATAAAGGGAACACAAATGGGAAAATGAACTTGAATTTTAAGAGGTTGGGATGTTCTAAAGGAGCAAATATAAAGGGAACACAATGGAAAAAAGAACCTGAATTTCAAGAGGGTGGCCATGAATGCCCATGCGGCGATCAATCATGCAAGAGCCATCGGTGACCAATAAAGTTGGGAACATATCAAAACCATCAGCAAGGCATAGCTTCAATATCATCTTCATTCCAGTTTGAACATCAACCCTCTCCACAAGAGAAAGGTCTCCTGAACATTTTCCATATGCCCGCAACAATATAATCCACCATAACCCTGAGACAACAGAAGCAGTAGCAAGATCATCATGTGTGAGTGAGTGCCTAAGGCATCCATAATTTCAGACAAATATGCCTTATTACCATTATATATTCTTCTTGCAGTGAGAACATACCAGAATCAACAGGTGCAACCCGACCAATTGCCGCTTCACCAAAGTCAGGATCCAACACATCTTCGGTTGCATTCTCGTCATTGTCAAGTGGAACAGTACGCACTTTAAAGCTCGCAGGCATCAGCCCCTGTCCTGGACTGTAACAATCCATTGTTTTCTCCCAACTCTGTTTGGATGGAATAGTGGGCAATAACATTAAAAATAGATTGCACAGAAATGTAATGAACTTGGGACCTTTATTTTGTCACGGTACTAAAATGGGAAGAAAATAATGTGATATAGTGCGTGAGCACCAAAGACTCTTAAAGCATAAATTTTGAAGCCAACAATGAGATGATAATGATGCATCTTCAATGAAAAGAATAAGCCATTGCAGAGTCTCACCTGTAACTGAAGAGTATGAAGGAGGAAGTTGCGTACAATATCAAACTCTCCTTTCAACAGAAAAGCAATCCCAGACGGAATAAAGTCGCGAATAAACACTTGATCGTAGTTGAGAATGCTCGAATCATTCGGATCATTAGCAGCAATCGTTCCTACGGGATTACCACAATAAAACACCATGGATTCCTGCAGCAATTTCCATGCCTCGTCCTCTAGAGAATTTGTCAACCCTTTAATTGAAGGTACACCTCCATTACCATTCTTCAATTGCTGAGCAGTAGAAGCATGCAAGGATCTTCCTTTTTCATCCTCAAAAGTTCTTTCAAAGCCCCTTTCAGCTGGCAGGCAATTGCATTGTAACGATTTTGGTTTCTCTGATATACGCAAGCCATTGAAACCGAAAATTGCCCGTGTGGAGGAATTCCTAAGTGTTCTTGAATACATAGAGCATCTATATCTGGGACTCTTTCCTTTGAATAAAAGATACGACCTTGAAATCACAGTGGATGAACATCTATGGAACAAACTGCAAGACATCTCCCCTGAGAAGACTTGCAGACCCATTGATGCTATGGATCTGAAAATGGGAACTCGTTTAGCTCTACTCAAATCACAACAACCCCTTGATCTAACTATTAGCCTACTTGCAATTGTCCACATTACAGAACCAGCAAAAAGATTTATTCCCTAAAAAAATACCAACTTTGCAGGAGGGAAGCCAAACTCAGAGTCAGCATAACTTCAAAAAAGAAAACTTAAACTAAAACTGTTCAGAACCAGCAAAAAAAATTAAGATCTGAAAATGGCAACCCATTTAGCTCTATTTGAATTACAACAACCCTTTAATCAACTTTACAGAACCGGATTTATTCCCTCAAAAGAAAAATACCCAATTTGGAGTGAAGTCACAGTAAGCATAAACAAAAAAAACCAAAAAAAAAATAAAACTGTACAATTAAATAGATGGGCACGCAATTGAGTACTAAATAAGCAGAAAGACCAAATCTTTGAGCTTTTTTATGCTGAAAGAAATGCAAATCTCTCGGCCACATCGACAGACAGACTATACGGAGCAATTGCTAACACAAACAAGAGAGCTTATTATTATTATTATCATGATGGTGAGGAGAAATCTTGAAAAGCGAAGTTGAAGCTAATTTGGAACTTTTTTGAAGAAATTTGATGAGAAAAATAAACAAAAAGAAAAGAGAAGACGTTTGCTTACCCTCCCCTGCAGACAAGTATGGAATGTGGGCTGTAGGTGTGGGTAGGGGGATTTGCAAAATTCGGGGTAAAAAAAATGTTTCCAACAAGGCTCACACTGCGTCACCATGTTTAAATCCGGATCGCAAAAATTGATCTAATTAGATCCATAGATCCAAATTGAACCGGGATCGTAGGGTTAGGTCCAGATTATTTAAGATTTTGAGTTTCGGTTACTATTCAGTCTAGACCGATAATACTCTCAATCCTTGTACACTTTAAATAAATGAGGAATCTTTTTTAGAATATTTAGTTTCGGTCTTGCTTGTAAATGAGTTCGGTCTTCGGTCTGGTCTAGTTTAGACCAATGAACACCCCTTAGTAGTGAGGATAGGTCATCGGCTACTACTTCTTAAGTGTATTTGTTCAGTTTGACTTTTTTGAGTCAACTGGACAAACTTTGAACTCCAATTACTCTCAATTTATATTGCATATAAGTATAATGAAATACAATTTTGAAAGTTCTCAATACGATAATTCCAATAAAGTCATTGTTATGTTAAAATACATTATGATTTTTATTTAATTAAAGCTCAAAGTTTGTCTAGTTTGACTCAAAAAAGTCAAACTGGACAAATACACTAGGACAGAGTAAATATATCATATCAGATATATTGAGATCTAATCATTCAGACCAGATTAAATTAGATCACATCATATCAGCCATAAAAACTACAGATCAGATTCAAAAGTTTTGACAAGAAAATGCACCCTTAGAAAGGTAAAAAGAGAGAAAGATGTGTGAAGAAGACGATGGGGAGACAATTAGGACAGGTTAATTCGGTTGTTTAAAATAAAAAATTACAAGTTTGTACTCTTAAATTATCCACTGATCATCAACAAAGCCGCATAGGTTAATAACTAAGCAACACCGAAGTAACGATATAATTATATAAATATGAGATAATTCTGGGAGTAATGATGTAAATGAATGAATTTGAGAGTATTTATGTAGATTGGTAATTTTCTTAGAATATTTGTGTGAATTTTTAAATAGTTTGAGTTTCTTTTTTGTTTTGAGGTTAATTATGTTGCCTATCGTGTAACTAGAGAGACTACTTTTATGTTTGATCAGTGGAATATCATGTTGTTCCACTCTTTTTTCTTGTAAATACATATTATTTATGATGATATGATGAATTAAACTTTTGGTTGAAAGAAATGTGAAGTATATAAATTTTTGTTTATTTGTAAAAAAAAGGTTCCTCATTCATTTTGGCACAAATTTAAAGAAAAAGAAAATTATGTTATTGAAAATGATACAGAAGAAAAAATTGTAAACTACAAAAAAATTTTGAAAACTGAAAAGCTACATCTTCTTTTGGATGTTGCAAAAAGGAAATGAGAAGTCTTATTTTAAGATATAAGACATAATTTCTTAATTTTACTTTAACTTTTAAATAAATTAAATTGAAAATGTGGACCAAAGTAGGAGAAACAAATGACATATCATATATACTTAAAGTAAGAGTTCAAACTTAAACTTTCTTAAATAGAACGTAAAGACATTAAAGACAAACATTAAAGACACTAGTTTTGTTCCATATTTCCATTGCCGGCAAACATTAAAGACTCTAGTTTTTTTTAGTATTAAAGACACTAATTAGTAAATTTATTCTTGCATGAATATGTTTTGGCTAACATAGAAGAAAAATCAAAATGAAAAAGAAAGGAAAATAAATTATTGACTACATCCTAAAAACTAACAACATGGCCGCTACACCTCGTCGCTGTGCTCTCACTCTGCAATCTGCCAATGATTTTCCACATCGCTGCCAACACCAACAATTCTGTCTTGCCGCCGCTGACACTACCAAGTTTACCTCTGTCACCGCTGACACTACAAAGATCTGTCATCGTTGTCATCACAAATAACTATAAAAAAGAATTGTCAATACAAATATACAATTACAACCGAAGCAACAATACCAAGGATTACAATGCACAATGACAAGTGTCAGTGTGTAATGTCAAATATTTAATATATAAAGTGCCAAGAAATATTGTGATTTACCAACATACAATGCCAAATTTCATACTACAAAGCCAACAACAAAATTCCAAAAAAAACAATGCTAATGGTTTACACCAAACTATATTTAAAATTATCATACTATTTTTGTTAGAGTGTCATCCCACATCGAAAATTCAAGAGCAAAATAATTGGTATATAAGCTCTTGAGTTGAACTAACTAACCGATTGGATTTAATCTTTTAATATGGTTCAATCCAAATGTCTTATTGTCCAATCCAGTTGTCCATACTCATCCTAAATTCTACCAATTTTGGTTTTAGAAAAGCCACACCACAACACCAATTGTGTGAGAAGAAAAGATAAAAATAATTTATTTTTTTAACAGTCATATCTATACACAAATGGTGTGGGAAAGAAGACAACTTCAAAGAAGATCCAAGACCAGAGTTCACGAGATGAATTTCTAATTCTCCAACCTAATTAGAACCTTCTTCAATGTCAGAACTCTAGGGATAAGGAGCAAAATAAGACCAAATATTAGCTATCCAAGCAACCTGTCAAGAAAAAAAATTAAAAAAAAAATCAGCAGCTCCATAGATTATTTGTGTCCTTCAATAACTTTTTAGGGTTAATTTTGCTTAATCTGGAAAGAATCTCTTGAGTTGTGGAGATGAAAATCTAATGTGCAAAAACAAATGCTTGCTAACCATTTCCAGATTCTGGAACGATGAGAGGGTGCGCAGCAGCTTGCGATTTGCACTGAGCTATCACTTACCACTTACTAGTGTAAGTGGTAAGTGAAAGAAAGACAAAAGAATTAAATTTTTAATTTTTTAATTTTTTCAATTTATTTTATTTAAAGAAAGACAAAAGAATTAAAAAAAATAAAATTTCTATATTTAAAAAGTATATCAAAAATTACAAAATAAGAAGTAACAAAAATATTTTATTTTATCAACTAAGCATTGAATAATTTTTGGATAGTGAAGAGTGTACTGTGTCCGTTTTTTCTCACATGTTTGGACATTCGTCTTTGTCCTCTAGGAGAAAAGCCCCGAAAACACAGCATTGCCCTATACAAAGTATCACCAAAACCGTCCACACTCAGTATTATGCCAGAATAAGCCATAAAGACAACATTGGAATTGTGTTTCTGTTTTCCTTCTTTTCCAAACCAAAACGATAGCATATATATATACACATACAAGATATAAGCTAGTCATATCTCAAACTAAGAATAAATCCCTGCCCCCAGAAGCTGAAACCAAAGAGGATGTTGGGGGAGCTCATGCATCATCCACGAATTGATCGTTGTCATTGTCACCTTCATAATATTCATCGTCTCGCTGGATTTGCTTGTCTTGTGTATGCTCTGAGTAAGTATGGGATGAAAGTAACATAAGTTTGTAGGCAATGATAAAGTCTTTCCATCATCATTAACACCTTCATCTCAACCCACTCCCTCCAGAATATCGTTTCAGTTACTAGAAAAATCACTCCAAATAAGAGTAAAACATAGTAGCATTTATCCTCAAAATAAGAGTTCTACATTTTGTATCCAAAATAGGAGTTTGCACAGTGACATTGTGGCAATGTATAGTGGCAACACACTGTATCTTTTGGTATTATATATTGGCATTGTACTCTTATTTCAGGGATAAAAAACATGGAGCTCCTATTGTGATACTTTCTCCATGTTTTACTCATAATTTAGTCTTTTTGGTCAACTCACAACTTTTGTTTATTTGTGTGCTTTCATTGATTAAATAATCAATTATTAAACTCATGCATAAAAAAGTGACAGTTTTATGCAAGATCACAACCGTGATGAATGAAATTTGTGTGGTGGGGGGTGGGTGGGCGAGGGGGGGGGGGTGGGGAGTTAAATGTGTAGTTTTTCCAGTTTTCACTTACGATCCAAGCGCTCATCAGGATTTCGCTCATCTTCATCAAAATCGGGAATGTAAAAGTCAGGTGGTACCTACAAAAAAAATGGAAGAATGAAAAAAGTCAACCCAAGTTTTGGTGGTCTTGGTATCAAAGATAATCCGCAGCGCCACAACACACATTCTTTGATGCTAGGTAGTGCCTTTGGTGAAAGAGGGCATGGGATTAAAATAACCATAACATATTGTTATATGGAGCATTATTTATAGCAAGTAATTTAGAGACAAAAGACAAAACTAATAACCTCCTGCAGCTGCACACTTGGAGCATGCTGGATGCAACGAAGACTTTCCAATACGTGTGTTTGTATGGTGCCGAGATATGATTTGCTGTTCATGTTCTCCTGCTCCAAAAGAGTTCATATAAATTTGCAATAGAAGTGATTTTTCATTCCTAATATAGACTGTTTAATAGGAATATGAAAATTCAACATACAATGTGCCCCCCGGGAATCTTCAATGAATAATCAGGGCCAAAATATTTGATATAGTCATTATCAGGTATATCTGTGGGGAAATTTTTTAAAAAAATGAAACATTAATGCATTCACCTTGTACACCTGACTCATGACCAAAACATTTATAGAGGGGGAGGGAGGGAGCAGTAATTACCATTAGGAAGCTCTGTGTCTAGAAGAACCCCTGTTTCATAAGTCCAACATCTAGCGACATTTTCTTTTGTATACCCCCCTCCTCCAGTCACCTGTGAAAAGGGTACCCCTCATTGTTAATCATATCGTATCGTTCCATATTAGGCACAGTTTGTTCGCAAAAAAAAAATACCAGCAAGGGTATGTTAAATTTCTTCACAAACCGAACACATTCAGCATGCCCTACAAGAAGAATCAAATTATCAGACACCCATATAAAAGTTGCCAATAGAGTATAGAACAATGGATGAAATTTCAAAATTACAAGTGTAGCACCATCAATGGAGAGGTTAAAGCAGCCCAAACGATCACCAGCTAATGAGTCTGCTCCACATTGGAGAACAATTGCTCCAGGAATATATGTTTCAACCACCTTTGAAATAACCTACAAATGCCAACCGGCCCCAAGCCAGGATTTTAGGAAGGCACAACTGCAAAAATAAAAATGTAGATGTTCACGGTTCGAGACAAAGTCTTACTGTTCTAAAGAGACGAGTGAAACTGGAATCATCAATCCCGTCCTTGAATGGCACATTTATGGCATAAAATTTTCCATCTCTTTCTCCTACATC